GCAGGAATCAACGCAGACCTTTGACTTTATATAACAGTTCTGTTTACCTGACTTTCGGGACGGATTTCTAGATCCATCCTGTTAAATAAATAACTGCATCCCTACTGATGATTAGCTTCATAGATGCTTTTTAGTTTAGGTTTTCTTACTTCAACTTTTAAACATGAAATTACCCTGCAATCTGTTTGCACAAAAAGACATCACCTTAATTAAGAGTAATATCACAGCATATTTGTGTTCCTTCTGAAGACTAGCCAGAACAAGTCATGTAGAAGAGTGTCCCATTAAGGAATTACAACTGATATTTTCCAAAACATTTATACAGACTCTGCATACACAGACAAGTTCCATACCAGTACCCCTACACATATACATACACAAAATAATATCATTTTAGTTGTGATTTTAAAAGAATCCTGTAAGCAATTCGTTTTTAATAATTTCCAAGAGAAAAAAATCTTTGATAATAGTCAAGTATTGTTAAGCTGAACAAAGAAACAGAACGCACGTTCTACTACATCTGAGGTGAAAAAGAAAGGGAAACTGTGTAGGTACCATCAAAAGTCCTAATATGAGATTTGATTATGCTAAATGCTTAAAAGATGAAAAGCACAAGGGCCTTCAATTCTTAACCCAAAACAACTGTGCCTTTTTTTTTTTTTTTCTATTCAAAGGACTATGCCAACTGAGTGCTAAAGTCAACAAAAGCAGGCAAGTTTTCTTTGCAATAAAACCCTGTGAGAGGGTTCCCTGCTCCTCCCCACCCTGCAGGCAGGACATGCCATTCTCCACTTCCCTGAGGAGAGCAGAATCCCAAGCCAGAGCAATTCCACAGCACAGGAGGAGGACATCAGGTTAAGGACAGAGGAAAGGTGTGTACATCTACAGGACACTGCACCAGCACTGCTGTGCAGCACCAAGTCAATGCGCACACTCTTTTCAAGGTGGAGCTCATGGAAGCTGCCCAACGTGCAGGTATCCGAGTTAAAAGACAAGGAAACTACCATTTTCTAATCTGCCTGCTTTCCTTTTCCATTAAATGCAGGATAATTTTGTTCTCCTGCTGGTCTGTCTCTCCCAACACATTTGTTCATCTTCTGTTTGTTTCTTATACTCTGAGGTTTCCAGAGTATTACAGAAACAACCATCTTCCCCAGTTTATCTTTCTAGAAATCACAGATGCTTCAGAGATGAACTCATACTGTGTATGAAGAAAGTGGCATAGAGCTGTCAAAACAGGAAGACCAGCAGCACGCCTTAGACGTCTGTCTTAGTTCTGCCCCCGGCTGGCAATTGTTACTGTGAGGATTAATTATTTAGGAGATACTACTTTGCTGTGCTGGTATAGGATTAGAGAATAGGGAACCTCTTCCAATACTCTGAGCAACAGATGTGCACCTAAAAAGATGCATTTGGTCAGCTTGCGGCAAGCAAGGTCCCTCAAAGCAGCAGATCACTTTTTAAAATGAGCACCTTGTGCTTCTCAAGAGATCCTACACTGCCACTTGAGGAAAACCCTGCAAAACCATCTCTCCTTAACTATCACTTGGGTAAGCATTGTCTCTCAACATACATAATGAATGCTTAATCTTTAAACACAAGAATCAAATACTGCCATTTCATCGCTGACCTGCTCCTTCAGAAGGTCTCGTACCACAAGCACTGGCTGCAGAAAGGGGTCCCTGGAGGGATCTGGGGGAATCTGCTGAGCCCCACAGCATTTTTTAACAAACAGTTCTTGTGGCTCTTCAATAATATCACAGAATTGTCAGCCCTCCATTTTGCAAGGTCCACGTGCAAAATAGGTAACATGCTGCCTCAGGCCACTTTTTGCAATATACCCTACGTGTGTGTGGCAGACTTGATAATTCGGGCACAAGAAGAGATTCTTTAAGAAAGACGTGGGAGATGCTGAGTGGCCGAGGGTCCAACAAAACTTAAACAAGAGAAGCAAGATGGCTTCATCAGTCAAAAGAAAACAGGGAGAATCTAAGGCACTGTTTCACATGTGATTCATCTTCTGATCGTCATCTTCTGGCATGTGTACTATGATGTTTGTTGTAAGGAGAGCTCCATCACCCTCGATATGAGCATAAGATATTTTCCTGACATATTTTCCAAATAAGCGTAAGGTTTAAGCTTTACAGTCTAGTGCCTTGAGGAACCTGTACAACCATGAGTAAAACCCAGCTTTTTAAAACTGCAGCAGTCAGAGCTGCAATCTTGACCCCAGACCCCAGCACATCAGGTGCTTGCAAATGAAGACGGTTGCTGCCTCTGAGAGCCAGTAATCTAATACCCCACATAGCTCGCATAGCTGTATCATACTGTTCAGCTGACACATCTGGTTGTCCTTACAACCAAGTTGCTATCAGTTCCAATCTCATGTCCTGTTATGCTTCTGCAGTTAAAGACCCTGTCCCACCAGGCTTGGCTTCCTCTTCCGTGGGCTGGCATCTCAACACATCTGTCACCACCGCCTTCCATCTCCCCGGTTCTTGTTTCCACCAACAGAGAATGAAGGCATGGTTCAGCTGTCTGGACACACACCTACAAGGGCTGTTTTATGTTTAGGGGCCATGCCACTTGGCCTCCACCTGCTTCTCCAGAAGAACGAAGGTTTGCCTAAGCCCCGCTGGCCAGTCCTCCACAGATGTCTGTCCTGAATACCCTCTTAAGCACCTCAAACAGCTCTAGACATCCATACTTAGGCAACTGAGTCTGTAAACAGTGATCTCTATTTTTGCCATGGGTCACAGCAAAGAACAAGCCATCTCCCATAGCAAGCCCATTTCTTAATATTTTTCTTGATATTATTAGTTATGATATGCTGATACTGGAACAAAATCTACAGTTTTACATAATAAAACCACAGGCTGCTTAGTCTTATATGGGCAAAAAGGGAAGGACTGACCCTTGCACGCCAAAACAGCTTGCTCTTGAAAATGATACAGAAGATGTACAAGCTGGAGTAGAGAAGGAAGATCACTGTCTTTAACATTGATATACATCCACTCTTTCGTAGAGCCCATTGCAACAGGACAGAGAGTAATGGTTTTAAACTGAAAGAGAGTAGATTTAGACTAAAGATACAGAAGATGTTTTTAATGCTGAGGGTGGTGAAACACTGGAACAGGTTGCCCACAGAGACAGTAGATGCCTCATCCTTGGAAACGTTCAAGGTCAGGCTGGACAGGACTCTGAGCAACCTGAACTCCCTGATATCCCTCCTCGCTGCAGGTGGTTGGACGAGATGACCTTTAAAGGTCCTTTCCAACCCAAACCATTCTATGATTCTATGAGGATTTTATGAAAACACCTAAAAAACACAGATTTTTTTCTTATTCAGAAGTAAATAAGGCAGGAAAGCATGGTTGTGGCCCTTTCTGTATATACAGTGGGCGCACACCCAGCATACATGTAGAGAGATCTCACAGACATTCATGTTAGGCTACAGCGTGCTCCTGGCCAGACCCTAAAATGCAAGGGACCACGTTCTCAGCTGAAATAGTGTAGGGAGGAAAAGAAACATTTATGTGCTGCAGAGTCCACAGACAATGCAAAAGAGGCATGAGAGAGCACATTATCAGCTCTGGAAGGAGTAGCTAGAAGTAACTCCCATGTCCCAGAGGCCACCAGAAACAGCCTGCGGGAGGTGAGGCAATTCCTGTGGGCCTGTCAGGCTGCAGGGCTTGGAAACAAGAGAGTTCCGTGCTCACACCCGTGCAAAACGATCCCTCTTTTTCAGGGTAAAGAAAGCAGATTAAGCAAGTATCTTTCTTAAAACGTCAGGATTCTGCTTATCTGTGTTATACTTAAGCTGAACTTATTGTTAAAAGAACGTGCCAAATCAGACCTTTTCTAACAGCTTGCAGAAGAGTCAAAAACTAGCATCAACTCTGAATCATGTTTATTTCCAAAGACTGAAGTTCAGCTGACAAGCCTTTATAAAATCAGTGTCATCCCCAGGCGTTATGAAGAAATACAACATTCCATATCCAAGAGACTTTTCAGACCGCATAGCCTGGGAAAGTCTTTTCAAGTACTGCTCTTCTCACTTCTGGAAGCAAAATTAATTAAATGTCCAGCACAGACACAAAGCATTACCTCTTTTCCAAAGGAAAATGGGATAAGGCTCAAAAGTTAGAACTGTAAGGGTTGTGTTTGGGGAAAAAAAGGGTCAGGCCTTAATTACCAGTGAGGTCACCGATAAGTCCAAACGACAGCTGGCACAAGGCCACCACGAGTTTCACAATAAACTTCAGATTTATTCTTTAAGAATCTGACTCAGTACCCACAGGGGGAAAAAAAAAAAAAAAAAAATCCCTTAAGACTCCCATTCACTTCAGCTACAGTAAGTGCTTTTCTCTGAGATATTAGACACGGATAGTTAAAAGCTCCTATAATTACACTGTTCCACAGAAAATGCCATCAACATTCAGACGGCTGAAATACTGCTTTGGCCACTGCATGAGATCTTGGCATCCTGATGAGTTAGTTTCTCTAATGCTTCAGCTCCCTCAAAATGTATGCAAGCTTGGTTGTAAAGGACAAATTGTATTCAAAGTGCTTTTCATAAGGGAACAGTTTTCTGTAAATTCTGAAAATCTGTATGTTTTCACCTTTGAAAATTAGGAAATCATAGTATCAGTGCTCATGGCATGATAACAAACCTATACCATGAGTAAAGAATGAAAAAAACTCTCATACAAAAAGCTGTATTTACGTACAAAAATAAAGTTTTACTATGCCAACACATGCACATGAGACACTCTAAAATTCTGATCAGGTTGTAGCAATATCCCCGCAACACATAATTGTTCAGATCAGATATGTGAAAAATATTCCCACGTGACTGATCTGCCAAGCAAGGCTGCTTCTTCAAACACCTTCAAGACTACTTAGACACTCCAGCGGGCTGTGAGGCACAGCCAGGCACTGAGCTGTGGTCCCTGGCCAGCCTGATGTCACGCCAAGAGATCAGGGAGCTGAAGCAGTTACAAGCAGATGACATCCGGCCCCCTGCGTCTCTCATGCTCTTCAATCTCCCGACTTTAAACCCAAAATTTCTTTCTCAGGCAAAAATAAACCGAACGCCAAATACACATCCTGGGCACGATCCTTGTTTTGTACTAAATCCTGTAAGAAACCTCACCCATTCTGTTAGAAATAAGCACGGGTGGTCTGGCAGAACCTCGCGGCCGGCTCACCCCGGGACGGCAGCTCAGCTTCCCCGGGGAGGCGGGCAGAGCGCAGGCCGCGCTGCAGATGGTGCTGTTCCCTCACCTCTGCCCAGGCAAGCCGCTTCCAGAGCTGGACACCCACCAGCCAGGACATGCCGACTGCTCCCCCCGGGCCCACCAGCACGGGGCCCAGAGCCAGGGCCAGCAGCCAGATGGCCCGAGGGGAAAAACTTGTGCCTCATCTCCTCTGTGCGCCTGTTCCCTTGCAAGCAAGGTCTGGTGAGCCGAGTTATAGGTCCAGTGTCTGAAACTCACTTTCACCCTTTTCTTTTGGTCACCAATCTGATAATCCACTCCACAGGAAATTTTCCTTGCTGTTCACTGAAAATATTTTTTTTGTTTGTTTCATTCTCAGGAGTAATTTTCTAGCTGTTTGACCTTGGATATTAATTTTCCCAAATAGTAAGCATAGCTAATGCTGCTCCACCTCAGAAAGTCCTTTTACCATCTCAAATACTTATAGTAAGCCACCTTAAAACAAATCTCCCATATAAAGCAAGTTATGATCCCTGATCTCTCTCTATAGGATGTTTCTTAACTGAATATTCATCCTTAGCTCCATCCTTGGATTCATCCTTCACTTTCTCATCTGACCAATATTCCACACTCTATTAGCACGACAACTCGGTGATCTGAACACACTTCCCACGTTCCACCTCTCTAAATTCCTGTCCTTGTATCTAAGCTTGGATCTGTCCAAATTTTATTTTTTTTTTTTAAATATTAAACTTTGCATCTCTTTCAGACAACTTGCTTGTCCAACTAACCCACTGCTTTTGCATACTCTAATTTGCATTTTGTTGCTAGCCTTCGATTGTTTCGTATGTCTCTGGATAACTCTAAAAAACTAACTTCATAAAAACTGATATTTGTATGGCTTTCATATAAATATGCTGTTGCTCAATTTCTAAAAAAAAAAACAAAAGTAATAATTAAGCCACTGATAAATCTTGTCCTTACATTTCCCTTCTTATATTCCTATGCTTGATTTCATGACATGCATTCCAAAATTCCCCTAACCCCCAGTCAGCAAGCATACAAGCAGCTGCATAATCTTACAGGCATGTAAAAAAAAAAAAAACTGTAGGACAAAACCATGCACATCCATAAGTCCTTTTCTGGATTTCAGTAATTGTTTGATATCTGAAACCCTGCTATTGTACAGAACAAGTTTAATCAAATGTCTTAAAGGTAAAAATGCTTCTTTTCTGTCTCCTACAGAAAAAGTAAATCTTGCCTCCATTCCAGTTCATGGATCTAAAATCTTTATGAAGTAATGGGCTGAAAGGTTCTCTTCAACCAACACTAGTCTAGTCCCTCAGAATACCTCTATAGGTCCTATTCTGTTTATTCATCATCATCACCACAACACTGCCCTCACTGTTCCTAACACTAGCACACTCTTGGGTCAGCTGCTTGTAACTTTACATATGAGGATCAGCCAATCCACCTGAGCTGAGCCCAGGCTGGAGAGCTTCACAACCTCAGCAGAAACAGGTACCTACTAACATAAAATGGACATCTACTCTATTATTGCTATAAAGTCATAAAGTATTAATTTAAGTTACAGAAATATCCAGCCAGCTTTAGTACCTATTTCATCAAGTAGCCTTTGTTCTACAGCCAGGCTTGACTGAGCATGGTGACAGATGCTACAGGTGGTATGTATGTCATGGTAAGGTCCCATGTGACTCCACACATGCTCCCAGCCCACTAACATTTCTTGCACCAGTTGTGATTTTAATCCACAGCATGTCCATCTCTCTCCATGTTCTGAACTTCAGTAGCCTTTCATGATTTTTCCTCAACGCAGTACTCTTTGCTTAAATGCTTTTGTGTATAAGCCTATATATTTATATATATTAGAAAGACAAATAAAAAAAAAAAAAACAACACAAACCCACATTATAAAACTCTTATCTACACATCTATCACATTTTCTAGCTGTTAGGAGATAGTGACTCAGCACACACTACTGATGATAACTGAAGTGTGGCTCACAATCTGCTTAAAGCCTAGCTTGTTGCATTTATCCTGTCCCCTCTTTAAAATATTTTACTTACAAAGGCATAAATACAGATTAATGAAGAATACAATGCCAACATCACTGAGTTTCACTTTACAGGGTGGCCCACAGAGAGAGGGCACTCTCACTGGAACGGTAGGATTGATGCAGATTGAAAGCACTAACTAAATGAAAACACAAGCTTGTAGTAAATAACTTGGCATTATTCATCTCTAACACTCAGAGCTGAATACTATTTAGCCAGAGGGCTGGGGTTTATTCTGCTTACTTGCTAATCTTCAAAATAAACTGTCTTCTGTGAACTAAGCTGATTCACCCCTTAGAGCCTGACCTAAGAAAACAGTTGTTCACCAGCCTCTGCATAACAACCTTTTACACACTGAGGAAGTTACCACCTCTCTCTTCAGTCTTCTGTTTCAGACTAAACAAATTCAATTATCACAATCTGTCCTTGATTTTCCAAGAAAATTTCTCTTCTACTCCTTTATTACACATGGCTGCAACCTCTTGTCGTAGCAAAGATCAGCAGTTGTGCAGGCAGACGGAGCTTCACGACCACGTGCCCACAAGCCCACTCATGTCCACCAGAAAGCAGAATAAGGCACTCTCTCCTCGTCCGCCAAGCACCGTGTTGGCCCACAGGAGGGTGCAGAGCTCTCCTGTAGTTCCTTGGGCTCCCAAGGCACAAGGCAAAACAGCCCAGTGTGGCTGATGGACCTTGGTAAGAACTGTGGCAGGGTGAGGACCACACTTGTTGCTGACAATATGACAAAAGGCCTGAGCCAAGAAGACTTCAGCTGCAGCATTAGAAAAACAGGGGGATCACCACAAGGATGAAGTGGCAGAGCTCAAATTCTCAACTGGAGGATGTGACATGGCAACGGCAGCAGGTCTCAGACACAGGCTCTGGAAGGGAGATGGGTCCCTGATGGTGTGCGTGGCCTCCCAGAGCCAGGTGATGCTGCTGGCAACACCTGCTGGCAGCAATGACTGCAGCAACCACCAAGGGCACTGGATCCTCCTAGTGCCAGTTCAGGCTGCAGCCATTACTGATGGCAGTAGCCACCGAAACTGTATCTGGGATCCTTTCCTTCCAGCTTTGTGACAGTCATCTGCTAATGAGACTGCATGTGGTAGCATGTCACAAAACGTAGATACACGTACATTTGCTCTCCAAGACTAGTTGTTACACGGTCTTCCCAGGGAGAGAAATTACCCTGTGAGGTCTAAACTGTCCATTCTTTTCTTCTGCTTGGGAGAGATGTATTATGCTTACTATACTGCAGACTCTTAGGAGTCTCCTCTCCTCTCTGAATTCTTAAATGGAATGATAAATTGTTCTAAACTACTTCAGTTAGTTCCTAACTACTGGGTGAATAAAGCTGTGCAACCAGAAAGCCCATAACTTATCTGCATATTCTTTGATCTGCTCTTTTACCTTATCTAAATAGCACCCTGATTTTATTAAAACATGCTTCATCAAGTCAATATTTTGTAGACTGAAGCGAGTGGAGTAATTCAGACCTTTCTGCACTGACATTCAATATTATTTGTCACTTTTTCCTTGGTAATGCAGCCATATTTCTTTCTTCTTCATATTCTGACATAATTACTGAACCTTTCTCCTGTGGACTTATGTCACACTAACTCCTCCTGGACCTTGTACTGGTTTCATTTTACACCACCGTGCTTCAATAACTCCTTTATACAAATCTTTAGTGACGCTGCCTTTATTTCCACTTCTTGTATGGCTCCTTTGCATTTCACACATCTCTTAGAAGCAGCAGTATATTCCATACAATGCTTCCTAGCTGTCCCATCTGCATGCCTCCAAAAAGCGCCTTCAATGACTGCCAGATCTCCTGCACTCCTCCCACTCCTGGTTTATTTCCCCAGGACACTTTAACCATTGCTTCCCTCAGTTTTTCCCCTTATAAGTTCATTGTTTGTGGTTTGTTTTTTTTTTTTTTAACTCTCACTTCTCTCTTCTCTTTGAAAGGTGAGCCTGGGATTTTGCAATCACTTCCTTTTTTACATTGTCTTTTTAAATTTTGAAGCAGTCCCTCCCAATCCACTTAGACCTCTTGTCTCGATCCGATGT